GAGAGAGAGAGAGAGAGAGAGAGAGAGAGAGAGAGAGAGAGAGAGAGATCTGTGTGTGTAGCAGGCATTAGTTATCGCCGCTGCTGTCACCAGATAACATGTGCAAAGAATATCACGTAATTGGAATTTCCACGTGGCGTAGAATGCTAATAAACCACGGCTAGCGCACGCACCTGCGTGCGTGCTGTCGCCTCGTGTCGCCCTGTCCCTGCTGGCGAGCGCCTTACTAAAGGCCTTACTAGATAAAATAATAGGCTCTAGTCCGTGCGTGGGGTGAGGGGGTTACCTTCCCAGTAATGATATTGCACCCACTGTGTCTAGTCATGAGCGGCGCTGTCACACAATGCACGGGTATCGAATGCGCACGCCATATACAATCATATTTGTTTCTCTCATTTAAAAGGTCATAGTCGAGAGAACAGAAAGAAAATTAGTCTAAACATTCGCTTCTTCTCTTAGACTTTTTAGACTAGAGACTCTAGACTCTTAGACTATTTATAGAAAAACAAGGTAAAATTACGCATACGAGAGTTTCTCATACACAGTGCATAGAGGTTAGGTCTACGAGAAACAGTTAATGTTAAGACTAATGTTGTTTTGACAATGAGCCCCAGAGCCCTATGTCCAAAAAATGAATTTCGTGATCCATTTCGTCACTTTTACTGAAATATCGTTTCTTGTTTTAAACATGCTGAGACGAATGACACGATGTGCTACTATGTGCTGATGACGCGGGAGAAATTAAAGCTCCTACACAAGTCTTACTTGTCCATCAGCATGCTCGTATCCGGCGCGAGAAGATGCGGATCAGATGTGCTGGTAACCTAGGCGACGCGCTGAAGCAGCACAGTGATTCATGTTTATGGGATTCAGCGTGTAGTGTTCGCACACGCTCAGCTTCCTTACGGTAAATAATGACGAATCAAGGAATTCCTCACGCTCAATTAGAGAAGCTGCAGACTGGTTACGTATAGCCATTCTCGTGGCCCCGGACTGTCACGCGAAAATCACCATCTACATCTCATGAAAACCAAATCGGATATATTTTAACATCGCATAACGTTAGTCTGCTGACACCAGGTGGTATTCATTTGGTTGATGACTTTGAAGACCAATACGACTTCGACGTATATAGGTTCTCGAGATAATGTAAAAAGACTAGCGTATGTATATACTAGTTGGTTTACTAGGCGTTGCTCAGGGAGAAAAAGATTACTAACAACTTGTAGAGCAAATTCTGACATATATTTACTTATTCCAAGGATAGAATTGTAACAGAGAAACAAAATATGAGTAAACAATATTCGGACAAAAACAGTTTGAAAGATTCTATGTTGTCAAAGCTTCTAGATATATACAACACAAGGTCCTTCCATTTATGACAAGAATGAAGAGGATTTGTGCGGATCCAACCCTAAAGCACACAACTTAAAACTGGCCATAGGGGAAGTATTGGGATGTTAGATTAACGCTGAGAGCAGTCTCTTTTAACACACATGCACACACACACGCACACACACACACACACACACACACACATTTTCACCCACGTGTTCTTTTCCGTGAGCCCGTTCAGCTTGTACACAAATGTCATCGGACAGCAACAATTGGTCGCGACAGTGATCGTATTGACCCGATAGCAGGACAGAATCCACCGAGTTATTACAGCAGCAATACAATCTCATTTGACAGGAAATTTTTTATAAAATAAAAAAGTGATATCTGCCCTATAAAGAGAATGAAGAGCTATGAAGCCATGAAGAGTAAGTAAACGTCGACGGTTGCTACTGGTTGTAAACTACTGGTAGTGCTTACTAGAATGCAAGCATGCAGTAGGGCTTACTAGAATGTAAGCATGCAGTATAGTGCTTACCCGTTGAAGTGGGGATCAGTATTTGCTGGGTCTGCAGCTGTGTCCCTGGAGGTAACTGAGGCAGGGTGTTGGGAGCTGTAACGAACAAACAAACTAATAAACAAACATGACAAATATGGTTGTGGGTCAGCCGATGCATATATGATGCAGCCTTAAGCTGGGTCACCTTCCTCAGGATGACTGAACTCATACAGCCAGTGAAGATCATGAGAAATTGAACACTAATCTTACTGTTACTGCCGAGCTAATATCAGCTGCTTAGGGTGGAGCTAATATCTGTTGTTTGTCTGTATGAGGCACGCAAGAGTTTATGCAATCACTAATGATTCTATGCTGTGAAATTAGCATTTATCCAATCTACTGAAGAAACATAAAGCTAGATAAGAAAGTGTGAAACATTCTTTACTTATTCATGAAGTAAATTTCACACATACACATACCCATGCACGCACGCACGCACACACTCATGCACACACTCACGCGCACACGCACGAACGTAGGCACACATACACATTATAACATTGCATAATATAATATAATATGGAATAATATGGTATGGCAAGGCAATGATATAAAGTGATGTGTCACGTCATGTTACAGTACAATGTAGTGTATTTTAGCAGAGCTCAGCGTATCAGAACACAGTAAAGTTTAGCACAACATAAAATACATTAGGACAACATAGCACTGATTATAGGACAACATCGCATAGATTAACACAACATAGCATATATTAACACAACAAAGTGCAGCTTAAATTAGCACAACATAGTGTAGCTTAGCACAACATAGCAGAAATTAGCACAACATAGTGTGGGTTAGCACAACATAGCATAGATTAGCACAGCACATGACAGCGTTTCACACGCGCATGGGTTAGTGCAAGCGTGTCTAGCGTATGTGTTGATGCAAGGCAGACCTATATCAATATGTGTGAGATTGCGCGAGCGCTGTTTAATCATCGATGATATGACGGCAGCAGACATTGTTGCCATTGTCATCGTCGTTGGCTGTGTTTACCTATGATGAAGGGGAGCTGGGCAGCCTGCTGCAGTGTGAGGGGCCTGGGTTGCTGACTTGCTGCCAGACTGCTCATCACGTTCTGAGGTGACGTCGTCATCGCAGTTGACATACCTGCAATCACAAACAATGTCAAAGTTAGCACCACACATTGTCAACCGTCGTCAGAAACCCAACATTGTCAACCATCATTACAAATCACAGATTGTCAACCATCATCGGCAATCACACATTGTCAACCATATTGAAATCACAGATTGTCAACCATCATTACAAATCACACATTGTCAACCATCATCAGAAATCACACATTGTCGACTGTCATCGGAAATGACACATTGTCGACTGTCTCCGGAAATCATATTGTCAACCATCAGCAAAGGCCACATATTTTCAAACTGACATTATAAATTACATACTGTCAACATCAACAATCGCGCACATTGTTTTTAGAACACACTATCACAACAATGACTTGCTCGCGCTGCTTGCCAATAATGCTAGACAGTTTGGACAATTGTCCGCGTCAGAAATCAACTGTTATCAATAGATGTCATTCAGTGTGAAACAGCAAATGTGACCCTTCACATAAACCTCTACTAATGTGACGTTGCACTGTGTATTTGCTGCTTACATTAAGGTGTTATAAGCGTTCCCTTCACCCAAGCCTCTACCAATGTGACACTGTACTGTGGGCCCAAGGTGTACACGTCATGCTACTATAGGCATCCATATTACCGTGACCTGTACAAGCTACCATGGTTTTGCCGAGTAGCTCGATCACATCGATTCGACCAAGTGGATATTTCTGGCAGGCATGATTGCGTTTAATTCTGCCAAGCATGTCTGCCAAAATCGTATTGATTCTCGAAGTCATGTAAGTAACTGCACCACTATCCGGAGCAAAATGGCGCAGAGGGCTATTGCCCGCACAAGTCCTTATCTGGTTTTAAAGTCGGGCGCCTAAAATTTCGAACGCTTTACTGAAATGAACGAGTAGCAGTGAAAAGGCCTACTGGTGCATGCAGGAAATTAGCATCTGCTGGTGTTAGTCTACACAGCTATGCTTACCACCAGGTGTGATAAGCTAGGAGTGGGCGTTAGGTTCCACCCTCTGGCAGCTGGTTGCATGCTATATAGTTTACTACCAGGTGGTATTAGATGTATAGCCTAGTCTGTGGTGGGTGAGCACAGGACAAGCTTCTCTCATGTAGCTATGTTTCTTATCAGGTGGTTCGATCAGTGTCATCGCCAGAAAAGGCACTTGCACCAGCTTGTCCGCTTAAAAAATCCTGGTGCGAAACATTGCTCACACAAAGGTACGGAGAATACGCGACACGGCTAAGGCAGTTTTATCTATTGTCTTGCTCGTTCACTTAAATTCACTCTTACTCTGTCCGTCTCTACAACCACCGCCTGCCTACCTGCCTGCCTGCCTGTCTTTCTGTCTGTGTCTCTCCCTCTTTCTCTGCCTGTGTCTGTCCGTCACTCTATCTCTCTCACTCTGTCTCTGTCTCTCTCCCGCTGTCACTGCCTCTCGCTTTCTACCTTTCTGTCTCTCTTCCTTTGACACACGTACACGCACGCACGCACGCACGCACGCACGCACACACACACGAGTGTCAATAGGGTGGAGGATCATGGGTCACCTCTGAAAGTCCGCCCATTCTCCTCGCTGCTGCCGCCACCACCGCTGCCTCCGATTGTCATTCATGTATTCGTGAGATTCATCCTCATCTTCTCTTGCCGCAAAATCCCCGGCTCGTCCCACCGAGCCAAATCATCGAAACATTGTCCCGATCAGAAGTCTCCGCTACCCCCACCAACCTTTATTCATCCGATCTTCTCCGTCTTCGTGAACTCCCTAGCCGCCGGCGCTCGGAAGCGCAGCAATAAACCCGCCCCCCGGCCCCCGCACACGCGGCTTCAACCCTCGGAGCGGGAGGGATTCGGAGGAGTGCGGGATGTGGGGAAGAGAAAGCGGGCAATCCGTCACGGCCACTCACGAGGTTAGCGTTGATAGCTGTCATCGCGGCGACCACCCGGGCGCGCCATCCATCTGGATTGTCCTCCAGTCGCGCGCGCAAATTACCCAATAGCGACGCGACCCTAACCGAATTTCCAGGGCGAATTTGGCCCCGGGTAAGCCCACAGTGCAAGTTTCCACGGATGATGGGATAGACGCGGATGTGAGACCGCCGGCGAAACGGATGTAAAGCTTGACTCGCGGAAAATCTGCCGAATCCCGAAAGAGCGACGAAATTGGGAAAACGGGCAGATTTTAAAATTCAACATTTTGCCAGTCAGATTCTTCTTCTGCCGTATGATATAGAAGCTTCGCGTTCGCTAACTGGTCACCGGGGACAAATATTCGTCATCAATCACCGCAAATCCAGGCAACAAGATTGAAATAGCTTTTACCAGGAGAACATTGCATTTGTATTAACTTTAGTATTAAAGAACGCTGAAGTCCCAATGCCATCGTCAGAGATCGAATACACCCACAACTTTTGCAATCATCCCCACCCTCCCCCCACAACTTCCTAAACTATCCTCCTCCTCTGCAACTTCCTCAATAATCCTCCCTTCCCCACAACTTCCTCAGCCTTATACGAGCCATGGCTACTGCCAGTACATGCATCTGGGCAGGGCCGTAGGCTGAGCAAATGCTTAGGGGGGGGGCAGTGACGGATCCAGGATTTCAAGGAGGGGGTGAGTAATAGGTGGGGGGTCTGGGGGTCCTCCCCCCGAAAATTTTGAAAATGTAGATCGCAGGAGGTGGTATTTGAGGCACTTTTGAGTACATGTACAGCCTTCATTCTGACTACGACAATTCTCTTTTAGTAGAACAATTTATTTTTTTAATTTTGCTCCAAAATCTATGGAGGGGGGGCAGCAGCCCCCCCCCCTGCTGTACGGCCCTCCTGGGACTAACCTCCTAACCTACGTACGGGTTATGAATCAGGTTTTCCAGCCCGACCACCCACAGTGATCGACACATGAGCGTATCTACCAGCAGAAACGCTCGTGTAGGGAACCTTGGCAGCCTCTCCATGCTCTAACCCCTCGGCTGTGGAAACAAAGCTCATTCTTTGTCTACATTCTCGGGCTTAACACAACACATCTTTACATAACTGTACTTTACATAATCTGTGTGAGTTCACACTTGCGGTTGCGAGCAAACATGGCCGCCGCTATATGTCATCTAAGGCACGTCATGCACCTGTCTCTGTGTCTACTGAGCGATCCGTGCTCGAAACATGATGGTATGCAAGTACATTACGATAAGTGCCTCAGGGCACCAGCAATCCCAGCGCTGCTTCTCCGCAGCGACTGGAGCTATAAGACTATGAGAGCAGGAGGATACACACACACACACACGAGTATGCTAGTGAGCAGATACGACTGTTAGTTTACACTCGATGTCGGTGGCCATGCGAGTGAGTAGAACGATGTTCAATTTCCCCGGCTGGTCGGGCACACACATATCGCATGTATCTACGCGCATCATTGTGCATCAGTTCACTACATCCATTGGTGGTAAACAATTGTAAACGCACGCCTTTGCGGGTTCCTTGCGGTGAGGCATGATTCCTTGGTTCAAAGGTCTGTCGTTTCAAACGACTAAATCGAATCAGTGCGCGCGTCTAGTCTAGTCTAGCCACAGCGCTACTCCTAAAACCACGGCATTTCGATTCACGACGCCCGAATGTCGCTTCATTCACGTCCACCGAACCAAACGATCGTCAACCAGCATTACACGTGTCAAGAAGACATGTGTGCAGTGCCCCCTCGAGGAAAACAAGTGACTATCCCCCCCACCCTCCCTGCGCACAATTGCAGCTGCATGCTGCCGCGACCCTATCAGGGGGTTGGGGACAGACGCCCCGGGATGCTTACCAGACGTGTGTGACGTATAAGGTATCACCGCAGACGACTCCGCCAGGTGTTTGATGCCCGGCAACTGCTGTGAGATTTTACCTGTGAACACAGAGAGAGAAAAGCTGATTGGAAAAGCGTGAAGGACGTTTATGAACATTTCTCAAAAATTATCACGGCAAATTTTTACGAGTGACGTCACTTTAATATCCATCTCTGCCTAAATTTGAGTGCAACGTTTGCGGAGATTTCACTGCCATCATCATGCATAACTAATGCAATTATATGATGCTTAATAACCTTAATTCATTTAAATTATTATTGATTTATATATTATATTTAATTCCCAAAACGTATTACTCTTATTAGATTAAAGCCTGTCAAATTTCTCAGTAGTAAACTAACAGCATCTTGGTTGAAAATAAAACTTGAAAAACCAGACCCACTTATCACAAACTGTGAAAAAAAACAGCACACACATTATTTTGACAAGAATGAATCATAAATGGTAGACAAAGACAATGGTGGTAACTTCCCTGACCACAAGGTCAGATCCAGCCTAAACGCCTCGACTGCCAAGGCGAACTCAAAGTGGGGTCAATACTGGAGGAGGGAAGGATATCATGACAGTGACTGGAGTTAGGATTTAGTTAGGGCTAGGGTCAGGTTAGGGGTTGGATCGAGGTAAGGGTAAGGCTAGCCTCATAGTGATGACATGCGACGAAGCGGATAATATATGTACAGGGGTTGAAGAGATAGACAGACAGATAGACAGAGAATAGAGCCCTCCAACTGACCGGCTTAATCACAGGTCATTCGGACTGAGGAACCTGACCATAGGAATAGCTCACTGCCAGCCCTGATCATGCACACGGTGCTTCTTAGAGCACCAGGGGGCGCCTCGTTAATCGCACAATAATTGGACAGGGTTCATAGTAGTAAGACACATGTTGAAATAAGGACTTATAAGACCCTTTCTGGAGGCCAAAATAAGACTTTTTTACGCGATTTCTGATAGATCACCGAATATTAAAGTACACTAATAATATTTATATACACAGTTGCACAGCAGATTTAATTATTCCGTATTATATATACAACAATTCTTACTCTAACTCGAGAACAGTTTATAAAACAATTTATATAAAATATTGTAGGTTGCAAAAAATAAGGACTATTAAGTACTTTTCTAAGATTTCACCAAAAATAAGTACTAATAAGAACCCTTATTTTATTTTTGGCAAAATAAGTACTTATAAGACTTTGGAAGACCCGCTACGAACCCTGTTGGACGTATCCAGCAGCTTGGGTCTGCTTCAATCAAATATACATCGTCATGATGGCAGCTAGCTGAGCAAGGGGGTATAGAGGCTCCTGGTTCGCAATAATGCTCATCCGGACCAGATCGAATCGAAACCCAGTAAATGCTGTGAGGCAACCAAACTCACCTCGCGCAAATAAATGCCCCTCGTAAAAACCCGCACCTAATGTTATTAATAATTTTTCCCGGTCATAGCGCACGCATTCGGCAACGGTCGTGTTCGTGTGCAACGATGATTTGCGGAAATGTACGCTCTACATATCGTTCTGCAATTCAGCGAGACAGCTGCGAAATTGCATGACATGTCATTCTATAACTCGTTGCTGATCCGCGTGAGAGATACATGCATTCATTCGAATTGTTTTGCCCCATTATTTATCATCATGCTACAGGACACACAGCTAGTAAAATAGTTATATATATATATATATATATATATATATATATATATGACTGTGTGCGTGCGTGCGTGCGTGCGTGCGTGCGTGTGCGCGCGTGTGCGGTACAAGCATGTATATACGACTAACTGGCCTGCTGTAGAAAAGAGGGCAGTATATGGTTTTATTATAAGACCAACAGTGAGGGATCATTTGACATACTATTAGGTAGAGTTTTGGTCATAATGAGGCAGAAGAGAGAAGGTGGAGAATATAATAAGGGCAGTAGAGGGTGGTTATAATAACACAGTTGAGTGTGATGGTTACCTGTCTTAATATAACCACCACTCTCTCTACCCATCCTGTTAGAAAAACCCACCACCTTCCCTATCTACTGTTAGGGTGGGAAAAGCGCCTCCCCCACCAGCCACCCTACCTATGCCTTTTTGTGCTTCTCTCCGTTACTAACACCAGACTCCATTAAGCAGGTTGCCTGCTCACAAAATATTGTAATGTGTAGAAAGAGCTACCCACCTCAACCTCATATATAAACCCTCACCCAATTAACTGCTCACCCGCCTCCCCGCCCACATGATATTGTTATTGTTATTGTATTTCTGTTTGTGTGTGCGTGCGTGTGTGTGCGTGCGTGCGTGCGTGCGTGCGTGCGTGCGTGTTTGTGTGTGTGCGTGCGTGCATGCGTGCGTGAGCTTGTGTGTGTGTGCGCGCATGCACGTGTGTGTATGTGTGTGTGGGTGTGTGCGCGTGTGTGCGCGCGTGCGTGCGTACGTGTGGGTGCGTGCGTACCTGACGCACTCTCGCGCTTCTCGCCATTGCTGAGACCGGCTCCGTTGAGCAGGTTGCTGCTTGCAGAGTGTTGCATGGCGGCCATCAGCTGGTCGGGAATCATGCCTTGCAGCAACGCCGCGTTTCCTGGTGTTCCCGCGTGCTCCTGGCCCGAGAGCATCTGATCCTGCAACAGGAAGCCCCTCCAGTCAGCCACGAAATTAAAGGATGGGAGAGGGGGAGAGAAGGTTTTCGCATGGGCATCATATGTACACGATGGCACACTCTCCGACGAAGCAGCCATCATTTCGCTAGAACAGACACCTGTCTATAAAGGACACTTTTGGTATTTCTATTAAATGACCATACATATCAAGGTTTGACTATACACTTTAGAGCAGGGTTAATAACCTGTGGTCAGTGAACCCCATTGTACGCAAAATTCTGTGTTTATGCGCTCATGTGCACTTTTCTGGGGAGGAGTCTGTAGCTTTCACCAGATTCTCAAAGGGGTCCATGACTCAAAAAAGGTTAAGAACCACTGCTTTAGAGTATTAGTAAATATATAACAAGTAATTTAAACTGTAAGAATGTAAAAATTTAAGGAATAGTCGAAAACACATTTTTTTCGATGGTCAACAGATGGCTGCACACCGCTGTTTATGTTGCTATAATTGTAGCTGGCAACAATGACACGGCTGCCCAATAAGGTTACTAAGCATATCGAGTGGAAATGCAAACCTAGCTTATTCGAAACAGTAAAATACAAAAAAAATATACGTACTAAATTTCATTATACATTACACAGTGTGAGCCACATAACAGCAGTACAATTATTTAGTAATGCATTTTATATAATACGTGAGCGTTGCTCAGCAAGGATAATCATTAAAATTCACGTGAAACCTTAATCACATCTTCACTGCAAAAGTATCGCACTAACGTAGCAAACAGCAGGTGGACAGTTAGGTTAGATTTACTGCCAATAGAGCCGTGGAACGTCATGGTGTACGCCGCATGCATGCACAGATACACACACGCACGCACACACGCACGCACGCATGCACACACACACACACACACACATACACACACACACACACA